CAGAGAACATATACGGCACGCATAGATGCAATAAAGCACCTAAATTATTGGGATCGTCTCAAAGCCCTCCAAATGTACTCACTAGAAAGAAGACGAGAGAGATATCAAATAATATACACCTGGAAGATACTGGAGGGCCAAGTACCAAATCTACACAGTAAAATAACAACGTACTGGAGTGAACGACATGGAAGAAAATGTAGAATAGAACCAATGAAGAGCAGAGGTGCCATAGGCACAATCAGAGAACACTGTATAAACATCAGAGGTCCGCGGTTGTTCAACGTCCTCCCAGCAAGCATAAGAAATATTGCCGGAACAACCGTGGACATTTTCAAGAGGAAACTAGATTTATTCCTCCAAGGAGTGCCGGACCAACCGGGCTGTGGTGGGTATGTGGGCCTGCGGGCCGCTCCAAGCAACAGCCTGGTGGACCAAACTCTCACAAGTCGAGCCTGGCCTCGGGCCGGGCTTGGGGAGTAGAAGAACTGCCAGAACCCCATCAACCAGGTATCAACCAGGTAACCAGGTGTGGGTAAGTTAGTTGGGGTATGACCCCCAGGTGCCTACGTGTGGGTACAGTAGGTGGGGTATGACCCCCAGGTGCCTACGTGTGGGTACAGTAGGTGGGGTATGACCCCCAGGTGCCTGGGTGTGGGTAAGTTAGGTGGGGTATGACCCCCAGGTGCCTACGTGTGGGTACAGTAGGTGGGGTATGACCCCAAGGTGCCTAGGTGTGGGTACAGTAGGTGGTATGACCCCCAGGTGCCTAGGTGTGGGTACAGCAGGTGGGGTATGACCCCCAGGTGCCCGGGTGTGGGTACAGTAGGTGGTATGACCCCCAGGTGCCCCGGTGTGGGTACAGTAGGTGGTATGACCCCCAGGTGCCTGGGTGTGGGTAAGGTAGGTGGGGTACGACCCCCAGGTGCCTGGGTGTGGGTACAGTATGTGGTATGACCCCCAGGTGCCTGGGTGTGGGTAAGGTAGGTGGTATGACCCCCCAGATGCCCGGGTGTGGGTACAGTAGGTGGTATGACCCCCAGGTGCCTGGGTGTGGGTACAGTAGGTGGTATGACCCCCAGGTGCCCGGGTGTGGGTACAGTAGGTGGTATGACCCCCAGGTGCCCGGGTGTGGGTACAGTAGGTGGTATGACCCCCAGGTGCCCCGGTGTGGGTACAGTAGGTGGTATGACCCCCAGGTGCCTGGGTGTGGGTAAGGTAGGTGGGGTACGACCCCCAGGTGCCTGGGTGTGGGTACAGTATGTGGTATGACCCCCAGGTGCCTGGGTGTGGGTAAGGTAGGTGGTATGACCCCCCAGATGCCCGGGTGTGGGTACAGTAGGTGGTATGACCCCCAGGTGCCTGGGTGTGGGTACAGTAGGTGGTATGACCCCCAGGTGCCTGGGTGTGGGTACAGTAGGTGGTATGACCCCCAGGTGCCCGGGTGTGGGTACAGTAGGTGGTATGACCCCCAGGTGCCTGGGTGTGGGTAAGTTAGGTGGGGTACGACCCCCAGGTGCCCAGGTGTGGGTGCAGTAGGTGGTATGACCCCCAGGTGCCCGGGTGTGGGTAAGTTAGGTGGTATGACCCCCAGGTGCCTGGGTGTGGGTATAGTAGGTGGTATGACCCCCAGGTGCCCGGGTGTGGGTACAGTAGCTGGTATGACCCCCAGGTGCCCGGGTGTGGGTAGGTTAGGTGGGGTACGACCCCCAGGTGCCCGGGTGTGGGTACAGTAGTTGGTATGACCCCCAGGTGCCTGGGTGTGGGTAAGGTAGGTGGGGTACGACCCCCAGGTGCCCGGGTGTGGGTACAGTAGTTGGTATGACCCCCAGGTGCCTGGGTGTGGGTAAGTTAGGTGGGGTACGACCCCAGGTGCCCGGGTGTGGGTGCAGTAGGTGGTATGACCCCCAGGTGCCCGGGTGTGGGTAAGTTAAGTGGTATGACCCCCAGGTGCCCGGGTGTGGGTACAGTAGGTGGTATGACCCCCAGGTGCCCGGGTGTGGGTAAGGTGGATGGGGTATGATCCCCAGGTGCTTGGATGTGGGTAAGGTAGGTGGTATGACCCCCAGGTGCCCGGGTGTGGGTACAGTAGATGGTACGACCCCCAGGTGCCCGGGTGTGGGTAAGGTAGGTGGTATGACCCCCAGGTGCCCGGGTGTGGGTAAGATAGGTGGTATGACCCCCAGGTGCCCGGGTGTGGGTAAGATAGGTGGTATGACCCCCAGGTGCCCGGGTGTGGGTACAGTAGGTGGTAAGACCCCCAGGTGCCCGAATGTGGGTAAGGTAGGTGGTATGACCCCCAGGTGCCCGGGTGTGCGTAAGATAGGTGGTATGAACCCCAGGTGCCCGGGTGTGGGTAAGATAGGTGGTATGACCCCCAAGTGCCTGGGTGTGGGTACAGTAGGGGGGAGGTTATCAACCTGCCCTCTTAAAAATTATGTCGCTTTTGGTCGATTAACAATGTTCTAACATATCACCCCTTGTCCACTCCCACACACCCTCCCCACCTCCTCTCAAATCACCAAGTAATCGCGAACATGGTCAACCCACACCAGACCTAGAGCAATGCTTTAAGCCCCACACCAGACCTAGAGCAATGCTTTAAGCCCCACACCAGACCTAGAGCAATGCTTTAAGCCCCACACCAGACCTAGAGCAATGCTTTAAGCCCCACACCAGACCTAGAGCAATGCTTTAAGCCCCACACCAGACCTAGAGCAATGCTTTAAGCCCCACACCAGACCTAGAGCAATGCTTTAAGCCCCACACCAGACCTAGAGCAATGCTTTAAGCCCCACACCAGACCTAGAGCAATGCTTTAAGCCCCACACCAGACCTAGAGCAGTGCTTTAAGCCCCACACCAGACCAAGAGGAATGCTTTAAGCCCCACACCAGACCAGACTTTTTGGCAGTACAGAAATATGCAGTCTACCCATCTTTTCCTGTCCTATCTTATTCTTTTGCGTACTCACCTAGTTGTACTCACCTAGTTGTTCTTGCGGGGGTTGAGCTCTGGCTCTTTCTTCCCGCCTCTCAACTGTCAATCAACTGGTGTGCAGATTCCTGAGCCTACTGGGCTCTATCATATCCACATTTGAAACTGTGTATGGAGTCAGCCTCCACCACGTCACTGCCCAATGCATTCCATCTGTTAACTACTCGCACACTGAAAATGTTCTTTCTAACGGCTCATTTTGTGGCTCATTTGGGTACTCAGATTCCACCTGTGTCCCCTTGTTCGAGGACAATCCGTGTTAAACACTTTATCCTTATCTACATTGTCGTATATCCTTATCTACGTTGTCAATTCCTCTTAGAATTTTGTGGGTAATGATCATGTCTCCCCTTACTCTTCTCTCTTCCAGTGTCGAGAGCTGCATTTCCCGTAATCTTTCCTCGTAACTGATGCCTCTTAGTTCTGGGACTAGTCTAGTGGCATACCTCTGAACTTTTTCCTGCTTCGTCTTGTGCTTGACAAGGTACGGGCTCCATGCTGGGGCCGAATACTCCAGGATTGGTCTTACATATGTGGTGTACAAGATTCTGAATGATTCCTTACACAGGTTCCTGAAGGCAGTTCTGATGTTAACCAGCCTCGCATACGCCGCCGATGTTAGTCTTGTTATGTGGGCTTCAGGAGACAGATTTGGTGTGATATCAACTCCTAGATCTTTCTCTTTGTCCGTTTCATGAACGAGTTCTTCTCCCATTCGGTATCCATTGTCGGGCCTCCTGTTTCCACCGCCAAGTTTCATTACCTTACATTTACTATGGTTGAATTTTAGTAGCCATTTGTTGGACCATTTATTCGGTTTATCTAGGTCATCTTTTAGCTTCATACTATCTTCCTCTGTTTATTTATTTATTAACTTATTTATTTATATACAAGAAGGTACATTGGGTTTGTGAGAATACATAGCATGGTATTTACAATACCCTCTGGGAGATCATTTACATATATCAGAAACAGTATAGGTCCAAGGACTAAACCCTGCGGGACTCCACTTCTGACTCCTCGCCACTCTGAGACCTCACCCCTCACAGTGACTCGCTGTCTTCTGTTGTTTAGGTTCTCCCTTATCTAGTGGAGTACCTTCCCTTTCACTCCTGCCTGCATCTCCAGCTTGTGCACTAGTCACTTCAGTGGTACAGTGTCAAAGGCTTTCTGGCAATCCAAAAATATGCAGTCTGCCCACCCCTCTCTTTCTTGCCTCATTTGTGTTGCCTGGTCATAGAATTCAATTAATCCTGTGAGGCATGATTTTCCATCCCTGAACCCATGTTGATGTTGTGTCACGAAGTTCTTTGGCTCCAGATGTTTGTCTGTTTGTGTATTCACCTAGTTGTACTTGCGGGGGTTGAGCTCTGCTCTTTCGGCCTGCCTCTCAACTGTTACTGACTACTATTCCCTCCCCACCCCCACACTCACACCCAGGAAACAGCCCGTGACAGCTGACTAACTCCCAGGTACCTATTTACTGCTAGGTAACAGGAGCATCAGGGTGAAAGAAACTGTGCCCTATCGTTTCTCGCCGGCGCCGGGAATCGAATCCGGGCCCCAGGATCACGTGTCCAGCGTGCTATCCACACAGCCACCGGCGCCTGTGTGTGTGTGTGTGTATATGTGATTACTGATTACTGCCCTCATCTATCTAATAGTTAGTCACTCCTCCATCATGTTCCAGTTCCAGAACAGCTTCTTGTGAGGGACTCTTTCAACTTTCTTAGGTCCAGATAGATTCAGTCAACCCAGCCACCTCTTGCTGTAAATACATACCATGGAACTATGCTACTGTTGTGGGTAGCATCCTCTGGAAGGTGAGCCTAGCCTAGGAAGCCCTTGATAAGGCTAAGAGACTTCTGACACCGGGAACCAGTGGTGTACTTCAAAGGAGAAGACGCCAGGACAACAATGCCGTAGCTACACATTAAGACATATGTAGAACATCGCTTCAAAACATTATGAGAAAAAGTGTCTGTCATGTAAGACGTCACTCACCAGCCTCATGTTGACAGCAGACGGTGTCACCTTGACGGGTGCTGACGGACCACTCGGGACTATGACAGTCCTCCGCCCTTATATTACGGATACAGTAGGGGGGGGGCGGGGGCTACATAGCCCTGGCAGCACGGTGTAGCGGCCACCACAGTTGCCAGAGTGAAGCAAGACTTGTGTTATACTGATCATCCTGGAGGACCAGCTCGCGGCCATCAGGGAAGTCCCAGGAATTACATTAATATGGAGCTGGAGCCGTCATGGGGAGCCTTACTGGGACCCGGGGTCACCGACCTCCTGTAACCCGCACTCATAATTTATTACAAATCAATACCAAATATCAGTTTGTATCCCGCTAAATCCTGTTGAGTGTGAGGGGTGAGGGGGAGGGGGAAGGTGAGTTACCCTCACACTACTCCCATTATATATGTGCTCCAGAGTGTGAGGGGTGAAAGGGGGGGGGGCACTAGCCTCACACTACACCCACTACAAGTGCACAGAGCTGCACTTGCACAGCTTATTCCATTATCTTAACTAACCAGCAAAAGACTCTAGACCAACCACCAGACTTGGGGGTACAATTACACAACAAAGGTAAACTTACTCTGAAGAGCTTCCATAACCAGAGGTAAACTATTGTGCTGAAGGGAAGGTCACTATCAGGGGAAAGCGCCTAATCTTTACGACTATATAGCACAGGGAAGAGGGTCAGGTTAAGGATTTGGGATGGAAGGAGGTAAGGAATGGGGCCCAACCACTTAGACGGTCGGGGATTGAACGCCGTCCTGCATGACGCGAGACCGTTGCTCTACCGTCCAGCCCAAGTAGTTTTATTTTTTTGGTCGATTCGACCAAAAAACTTTTAAATGACAATAGAATTATCGTTAAACCATTATTGCAAAGCCAATTAAGAGAGAGACAGGCTATCTTAGCGGTCACTCATCCAGTTACTAAACAGACCCAACGATGCTTAACCTGACTGAGTGAGTGACATGACTACATCACCTGTTCTATCCGGTATTCAAGTGGCTCTCCTGGTACTGAGAACAGCACATATCACAACCCACCTGTTATGACAGGCAGCTGTTATGACAGGCAGCTGTTAGGACAGGCAGCGGTTATGGCAGGCAGCTGTTATGACAGGCAGCGGTTATGGCAGGCAGCTGTTATGACACGCAGCTGTTATGACAGGCAACGGTTATGACAGGCAGCGGTTATGGCAGGCAGCTGTTATGACACGCAGCTGTTATGACAGGCAGCGGTTATGACAGGCAGCGGTTATGGCAGGCAGCTGTTATGACAGGCAGCGGTTATGACAGGCAGCTGTTATGACAGGCAGCTGTTATGACAGGCAGCTGTTATGACAGGCAGCTGTTATGACAGGCAGCGGTTATGACAGGCAGCGGTTATGGCAGGCAGCTGTTATGACAGGCAGCTGTTATGGCAGGCAGCTGTTATGACACGCAGCTGTTATGACAGGCAGCTGTTATGACACGCAGCTGTTATGACAGGCAGCTGTTATGACACGCAGCTGTTATGACAGGCAGCTGTTATGACACGCAGCTGTTATGACAGGCAGCTGTTATGACAGGCAGTTGTTATGACAGGCAGCGGCTATGGCAGGCAGCTGTTATGGCAAGCAGCTGTTATGACAGGCAGCGATTATGGCAGGCAGCTGTTATGGCAGGCAGCTGTTATGACACGCAGCTGTTATGACAGGCAGCGGTTATGGCAGGCAGCTGTTATGACAGGCAGCTGTTATGGCAGGCAGCTGTTATGACAGGCAGCTGACAGGCAGCTTTATGACAGGCAGCTGTTATGACAGGCAGCGGTTATGACAGGCAGCTGTTATGACAGGCAGCGATTAGGGCAGCGGTTATGGCAGGCAGCTGTTATGGCAGGCAGCTGTTATGACAGGCAGCTGTTATGACAGGCAGCGGTTATGGCAGGCAGCTGTTATGACAGGCAGCTGTTATGACAGGCAGCGGTTATGGTAGGCAGCTGTTATCACAGGCAGCTGTTATGGCAAGCAGCTGTTATCACAGGCAGCTGTTATGACAGGCAGCGGTTATGACAGGAAGCTGTTATGACAGGCAGCGGTTATGGCAGGCAGCTGTTATGACAGGCAGCTGTTATGACAGGCAGCTGTTATGACAGGCAGCTGTTATGACAGGCAGCGGTTATGGCAGGCAGCTGTTATGACAGGCAGCTGTTATGGCAGGCAGCTGTTATGACAGGCAGCTGTTATGACAGGCAGCTGTTATGACAGGCAGCTGTTATGACACGCAGCTGTTATGACAGGCAGCGGTTATGACAGGCAGCGGTTATGGCAGGCAGCTGTTATGACACGCAGCTGTTATGACAGGCAGCGGTTATGACAGGCAGCTGTTATGACAGGCAGCGGTTATGACAGGCAGCTTATGACAGGCAGCTGTTATGAGGCAGCGGTTAGGCAGCTGTTATGACAGGCAGCTGTTATGACAGGCAGCTGTTATGACAGGCAGCTGTTATGACAGGCAGCGGTTATGGCAGGCAGCTGTTATGGCAGGCAGCTGTTATGGCAGGCAGCTGTTATGACAGGCAGCAGCTGTTATGACAGGCAGCTGTTATGACAGGCAGCGGTTATGGCAGGCAGCTGTTATGACAGGCAGCTGTTATGACAGGCAGCTGTTATGGCAGGCAGCTGTTATCACAGGCAGCTGTTATGACAGGCAGCAGGCAGCTGTTATGACAGGCAGCTGTTATGACAGGCAGCTTATGTTTATGACAGGCAGCTGTTATGACAGGCAGCTGTTATGACAGGCAGCTGTTATGACAGGCAGCTGTTATGACAGGCAGCTGTTATGACAGGCAGCTGTTATGACAGGCAGCTGTTATGACAGGCAGCTGTTATGACAGGCAGCTGTTATGACAGGCAGCTGTTATGACAGGCAGCTGTTATGACAGGCAGCTGTTATGACAGGCAGCTGTTATGACAGGCAGCTTATGACAGGCAGCAGGCAGCTGTTATGACAGGCAGCTGTTATGACAGGCAGCTGTTATGACAGGCAGCTGTTATGACAGGCAGCTGTTATGACAGGCAGCTGTTATGAGCAGGCAGCTGTTATGACAGGCAGCTGTTATGACAGGCAGCTGTTATGACAGGCAGCATGACAGGCAGCTGTTATGACAGGCAGCTGTTATGGCAGGCAGCTGTTATGACAGGCAGCAGCAGGCAGCTGTTATGACAGGCAGCTGTTATGACAGGCAGCTGTTATGCAGCTGTTATGACAGGCAGCATGACAGGCAGCTGTTATGACAGGCAGGCAGCTGTTATGACAGGCAGCTGTTATGACAGGCAGCTGTTATGACAGGCAGCTGTTATGACAGGCAGCGGTTATGGCAGGCAGCTGTTATGACAGGCAGCTGTTATGACAGGCAGCTGTTATGACAGGCAGCGGTTATGGCAGGCAGCTGTTATGACAGGCAGCTGTTATGACATGTTATGACAGGCAGCTGTTATGACAGGCAGCTGTTATGACAGGCAGCTGTTATGACAGGCAGCTGTTATGACAGGCAGCTGTTATGACAGGCAGCTGTTATGACAGGCAGCTGTTATGGCAGGCAGCTGTTATGACAGGCAGCTGTTATGGCAGGCAGCTGTTATGACAGGCAGCTGTTATGACAGGCAGCTGTTATGACAGGCAGCTGTTATGACAGGCAGCTGTTATGACAGGCAGCTGTTATGACAGGCAGCTGTTATGACAGGCAGCTGTTATGACAGGCAGCTGTTATGACAGGCAGCGGTTATGGCAGGCAGCTGTTATGACAGGCAGCTGTTATGACAGGCAGCTGTTATGAGGCAGCTGTTATGACAGGCAGCTGTTATGACAGGCAGCTGTTATGACAGTTATGGCAGCTGTTATGACAGGCAGCTGTTATGACAGGCAGCTGTTATGACAGGCAGCTGTTATGACAGGCAGCTGTTATGACAGGCAGCATGACAGGCAGCTGTTATGACAGGCAGCTGTTATGACAGGCAGCTGTTATGACAGGCAGCTGTTATGACAGGCAGCTGTTATGACAGGCAGCTGTTATGACAGGCAGCTGTTATGACAGGCAGCTGTTATGACAGGCAGCTGTTATGACAGGCAGCTGTTATGGCAGGCAGCTGTTATGACAGGCAGCTGTTATGACAGGCAGCTGTTATGACAGGCAGCTGTTATGGTTATGGCAGGCAGCTGTTATGACAGGCAGCTGTTATGACAGGCAGCTGTTATGACAGGCAGCTGTTATGACAGGCAGCTGTTATGACAGGCAGGTTATGACAGGCAGCTGTTATGACAGGCAGCTGTTATGACAGGCAGTTATGACAGGCAGCTGTTATGACAGGCAGCTGTTATGAGGCAGCTGTTATGACAGGCAGCTGTTATGACAGGCAGCTGTTATGACAGGCAGCTGTTATGACAGGCAGCTGTTATGACAGGCAGCTGTTATGACAGGCAGCTGTTATGACAGGCAGCTGTTATGACAGGCAGCTGTTATGACAGGCAGCTGTTATGACAGGCAGCTGTTATGACAGGCAGCTGTTATGACAGGCAGCTGTTATGACAGGCAGCTGTTATGACAGGCAGCTGTTATGACAGGCAGCTGTTATGACAGGCAGCTGTTATAACAGGCAGCGGTTATGGCAGGCAGCTGTTATGACAGGCAGCTGTTATGGCAGGCAGCTGTTATGGCAGGCAGCTGTTATTGCAGGCAGCTGTTATGACAAGCAGCGGTTATGGCAGGCAGCTGTTATGACAGGCAGCTGTTATGACAGGCAGCTGTTATGACAGGCAGCGGTTATGACAGGCAGCTGTTATGACAGGCAGCTGTTACGAAAGGCAGCTGTTATGACAGGCAGCGGTTATGACAGGCAGCTGTTATGATAGGCAGCTGTTATGACAGGCAGCTGTTATGACAGGCAGCTGTTATGACAGGCAGCTGTTATGACAGGCAGCTGTTATGACAGGCAGCAGTTACGGCAGGCAGCTGTTATGACAGGCAGCTGTTATGACAGGCAGCTGTTATGACAGGCAGCGGTTATGGCAGGCAGCTGTTATGACAGGCAGCTGTTATGACAGGCAGCTGTTATGACAGGCAGCTGTTATGACAGGCAGCTGTTATGACAG